GCACTTTGTCTGGAAACAATGGACAGATTACAAGGAAACTTTGATCAATCAACAGAACCGCTTGCTTCGCGTTTTATAAAGCAGTGGATCAATGATACTGATTGTTTTTTAGGGTATGGATTTTTATTATATAAAAATATTCTAATATATAGAATTAATAAAATACAAAAATTTAAGATATTAATTTTCTTTGTGATAATGAATTACAATGATTGATCTTCTCTATAGCTTGCACGACCGTAAATTGTGCGTTCTTGGACTGTGTACGTTAATCAGCATGGGTCCTGCGAGACCACCTGCTGTTAACGAATGTGCAACGCAAATTATTCCATCCTTAATCTTGCTATTCGAAGGTTTGAAAAGAGCATATGCCGCTAAAGTCACAGATGGAGACGATGATGACGAGAACGAGGAAGAAAGTGATATTGACGAAGGTGAATATTTTATATAGAGAGTGTCCCAGATTGTTTATTACAAACTTTAGTAATATGTTCTATGAGTAGAAATAAGAGAAAAATGTTATATGAAAATCCTAAAATGTTTTATTTAAAAGTGTTATAGCAAAAATAAGAAATATAGAATATATGGTAAAATATATAAGCTAATTAAATTCGAATTTTAGATGTTTTATCATCAGATGAAGACGATATAGATGATGCTAATCAAGAATACCTCGAGAAATTACAGGATAAGATAACACGAACGTCTGCTCAACATGGCTTCAACGTTAACGCGACTATACAAGATGGTCACGGTGATCACAGATCAGATGACGATGACGACGACTCAGAGTATGACGGTAACGAAGAGACTGCTCTTGAAAGCTATACTACCCCTTTAGATTCAGAGGATTCCAATCAAGATGAATATATTGTTTTCAAGGAAATCATACAAAGTAAATACTTAAAAAATAATATTTGAGAGGTGTATATATATAACTGATTTCAAAATACGCATTAAAACGTATTAAAATATATATTGTGTATTTATTATTTTTAACTAGATATTGAAAGAACGGACATGGCTTGGTATAGAGCCTTGACGAGTCTTCTTAGTCCTGAACAAGAGAAAGCTTTACAAGAAATTATTCTTTTGGCGGATCAACGCAAAGCAGCTTTAGAGAGTAAAAGGATCGAGCAGAGCGGAGGTAAATTTGTGCTGCTTTTAATAGTGAGAATTTGCATTGATGTATGAGTTAATGTGCATATTCTTTTATTCTGTATATTAGTTATCATTAATTTATAATTTTAAATTTTTTAGGATACGTCTTTCACTTACAGACTGTGCCCACTTCGTTTAACTTCGGTGGAACACCTTTAAGTCGATAAAGACTTATAATCATTTCAATTTTAGGTTAATTAAGTAAGTAAACAAATTATACTGAATCTGGATTGGACATTTGTAGCACATGAACATTATATAACTATTTCGAAAATATTACGCATTTCCTATTTACTATTTTTGTGTAAATTAATTGTACATTACTAAGGCAATCTAACAAAGATAAGACTAAAATTTTATCCTCATGAGATCATCGGTTTTGTGGATACTGTTTTATGAGACAGCAGATTTGCTACTTAGTTATCATGTGAAAATGTATATTACACATCTCTTTTACACATTTATTATAAATAACAATTCGATATTTTTTTATTCAAATAAAATGTTACTCTTCATCTAGCAAGTTATAATATTTTCTTGACAATTTAAAATTATTTTAAATTATACTATCGAAATATTTTAACTCTAAAGTACTTTTGATTAAGAAAATTCTAACATAGCTTGCTAGATATGTATTCTCATCACACACACGCACACGCGCGCGCGCGCGCACACACACACACCCACACACAATGTATATTTAATCTCAATTATTTGCCTAAATATGAAATTATTTTAACAAAAAAAAAAATTAGTTTATAAAATATATGTTACACAAATTGTGTTAAATTGTTGGTACAAATATATCAAAAGAAATTCGAGTATGTGTATAAATTATGTTATTTGATATTAACAATTAGTTCAGTAAAATATGCTGTACATTCTCCAGATCTATTTGCTAATAGCTGTTCTACTGAAAAGAAAAAATGAAACTTGTCAAAACTACTAGACGTAATTTGCAAAACTTGCTTATCACAAAAATCTTTAGATAAGAGTAATTTAGATGTTTTAATAAATAGTTTTTTTTTTTTCAAGTCTTCGTTTAAATGTATATTGTATTACATATGGCCAAACATTTTTCTGCAGTTACCGATCACTTTACATAAATCTCAGCACAGCTTGCTTTATTTTGAAAAAGATAAGTTCTGCCATATTTTGTGCTGTCCAAACTGTACCCTGAAGGATAGAGCACGAATAATTTAAGAAAGCACTTTGAATAGCTTCTGTAACGAAGTCTACAATCTTATGTTTTGATTCTTTTATAATACAATATGAATTAATATCCATATTGTATTATAAAAGGCATTAACACAAAAACAACAAATGAGCAGAGCTCTTTCTTTCATGAGGTATTGCAATTACGTAGGACGAACTCGAAGCAGAAATAAATTATAAATATCAGAGCCCAAAATGATAAAGGCGTACAAAGAAGAGGTGTTCTGTGCTGTGGTTAGTGAAATGATATTACTGCACAAGAGAGCTTTTTATATCGAAATGCAAAAGAACGTATGTGTCAATTATGTGTCGCTTCAAAGTATAAATTGTGATCTTGTATTTAAGTCCAAGTTTTTGTACTAAAATGTTATTTGATAGTGAAACTAGGTTGTTGAAAACATTTTGTTGATAAGAATATGTGCTTCTTTATGATATATACTCGACCAAACTTTTTATTCTGTTTATCGAATATGAGACTTATCTTTTTTTCATATAAAGCTGCAAGAAACTGTGCAATAATTTTAATCATTGATATTTATTCCAAATTCAATTTTTCTAATAAAGATTTTTTATACAGGGTGCATGCAAAAATACAGCAGATAGCGTAGAAGAAACGATATACATAATAGATTTTGTTAACCAATAGATTGTTAACCCACAAAATAGGTTTTGTACATTAATTTATTTGTAAATCAAAAACATGTGGAATTGTCTATATTAAAAAAACTTCAACTTCAATGTTATAAAGAATTCGATATATGATTTTATGAAAATATCATTATTAGAAATGTGAAAAAATAAGATTCATGACTTTTTAATATATATGTGGAGTATATAATAGGTTCTTTCCATTTGATGACACAAGTCGACACAAGCGTCTATCTTTGTCACTCTCTGAATGTCAAGAAGGATAGAACGACGCTTGTTATCAAATGGAAAGCACCCTACGAAGTCCCTGCACATTTTATTTATTCATAATAAACATTAACCTTAAAGATCACGTTCAACAAAATATTTATCTTGCAATTGTTGAAACACAGAAAAAGCGTTATGGTTGCCACAGCTAAAAATAATGATATTTTTTGTCCATCAATACAATTTGGCTATAAGTTGTTACTATAATTCTTATACCAAATTGTATTATGGAAAAAATATTATTTTCGGTTAAAGTAACCATAACGTTTTTTCCATGAAATTTTCTTTGTGCTGATTATACGTTCTAGACGAATAGTCTTATCGCAGCGAAGGAAACTCTCAACAGTTGCAAAATAAACATTCTGCTGTGTAAAAGTAAATAATTATATAAAACAATATCAATAACATATAAGTCAAGGATATAGAAATGTGTATATTATTGCTCAACATTTTTAATGTATCTGTTATACATAATATGCATGTCTCTCGAAATTCAAAAAGCCAGGGATACTTTAATATAACAGGACGATGTAAATAGTTTCAGATATTTGAAAGTTAACATAGTTATAATCAGTACATTACAATACTCCAATTTGATAAAATGAGACATATATGGAAGAAAAGTTTTTGGTATATATGATAATCTTTCTAATAGTAACATAAATAAATTACATATTTCTTATATTCGCCAATTTTATTTTGCAGTACCCTGCTTTTATATTGGCTTATTTGAAATTATGACTACTGATTTCTTGCAGTATTTATCGGAGATATATGTGTAGCATAAAAAGCGATTTTTAATATCGTATCTATTTCATAAACAGTTCGACGCAATCAAACAAAAATACTTCTTCGCACTGTAATCCGAACTCGCGACTCATTTAGTACAGTTAAAATCTTTGCATGTAATGAGAGAGAAAGTTAATATCGATTGTGTCAGTTTTTCAAACAAAAACATTTTAAAAAGTGCCTTGAGACATTAACGTGCAGACGGGACCTAAATTAAAGAATACAGCAGAATAAGCTGTAGGTCGGAATGAGGCCAGGACACTTCTCTAGTTCATAAGTTCTAGAAGTACTGTATTAAAGAATAATAAATTAAAGTAACTGATAGAGAGAAGAGACGAAAAAGCTGTTCCTTTGTTCTTTATAGGATACAAGTCGTAACTTCTTTGTAATGAATATTTACCACACGCATATTCTCTCCGTAGTTTTTATATAATGAATAAAATAAATTATAAATAATGGTAGTGGCGACGAGTCTTACGATAAAACATCACACATATGCGCTTAAGTCTTGATATTGTATAAACTAATAAGAGGTAAGATAACTATAACTGGTGCTTTAATATACGAATGAAGTTTAGAAACTTCATTATTAAACTGAAAATGTAGTCTCTATTATATCTGTCATTTATTTATTTATCCAAGACCTTTATTTCTGGAGTTTACAGTATGTTTGTGGATTAGCATTTAACTCTTTCTTACATCTGTCTAATTAAATATATTTAATAAACAACAAAATATACGCAATCATATAGTAGTTTAGAATTCACACACACAATCGCAGATTATTTTTTAAATAAGATCAGAATTCAGAAAAATAGTAATATTAAATTTTATTACATAATTTCAACGTGTGTAATTAAAATGTAAAGGACAAAAAATTTTTTTTCACACTTGTATAGATACACTATCATTATTTTTCATTTCTATTTTCACTAGTGATTATATAAATTTACTATTATGAATTCCAAAATGCCTACAGATTGAAGAGATATATATGGTGTTATCTAAATATTCCGATTTATACATCAATATAAGAGCAAATAGCAGAAAGAAGTATCGGTGGCACATTTTAACACACTTTGTTATATAAGTATTTCTGTGATTCTTGCATGTATCAATTTTTCTAAACTACATTGAGATATGCTCAATTATTTTATATAGACTCTGTACAAGCGTGACGTTGAAAATATACTTTCCAATATTTCTAGTAATTACGAAGTATATGATAAATTAAATTTTGTAGCATAACAAATCTCACGATTGTATTGTAATCTCGTAATTATTAATGACTGCTGTAAGGTTTGTACTTGTACATAAAGCAAACCAATTTCTTCGCTTAGTGTGAAATAAATTTTAACTTTTCTCATAAAAAAGAAGACATCGAATTATTATTTTTTTACATATATCAGAAAGAGAGCTGTTCTGTCGGGTGTAAAAATTTGCTGTTTGCGAAAATCCAAACGAAACATTTGCAGTTTTGTAACAGCCTTATATTCCATTCTCAGTCAAAATACATAAGTTACTTGTACATATATTTAAATGAAAAGCAGATTTTGATAGATGCTACGGTGAATTATTATGAAAATGGGTTACGCCCCTTAGAAAATAAATATTTTATAAATTAAGGTACCTATAAAAATCGCAAAAGAAGTTTAAAAATTCAGGATCCAAAAACTTTCTAATTCCAGAACTTTCTAATTCCTAAGTCCAGAATCGTAAATGTATGGAACACAATTAAATCACATCGTAACATCTATTATCTCTCTGCCAAATGTCAAACTATAATTCTACGAGCCCCTCAACACTGCACTTCAAATTCACTAAAATAATGCCATGGCCAATAAACATTCTTGGTAATTCATCGAAAACAATGAACGATGCATTCAAATCGCCCGAGTTTTTTGTGCTAAGAAAAAAATACGTCTTTAATTAAATGTATATAGGCCTGGCAAGACACAAAGAAAGTAAATATGTTAATGTTATCACGCAAGTGATAATGAGGACACAGTGTGGTCCTACATTAATTCCGTAGTTTAGGATATCTTCACCTACAGTGAGTCCTTGGAGAAGTGTGTACAGTATTGACGGTGAGGCACTGTATCACTTGAGACACCGATCAAAATAATAGGATCCTACATAACCACCTCTCATCGCTTTCGTTACATTTTGTTCGAAAGCCCTTCTGTTGTTTTGTAAAACTTCAGCTGCATCCTTATTTAACGGATCTTCAGGATTTGGTTCCTGCCAAAACATTTATTCCTCTTAATTCAAATAAAAAAACAGTGAATTCTATATATTGAATTTTGGTAATAATAAGAATTCTCTGAGATTCTTTGAGAGAAGTTTTTATACATACATATATATAGTGACTGCTAAGTTTCCAATCAACATTAACTTTATAATAATTTTCGGGCCCTGTTTTTAGTTTATATTATAAATAAAAATTCTTGAACATAAATAAGCAAAGAAGATCACTTGTCAAAGCAGGTGCCTAATAATATTTCTGTGTGAATTTTACAATTTCTGATTCAAGCAATTAAAATATTCTTGTTATAATCAATCAATTTATAAGAGTACAATATTTTAAATATTTTAAATTTTAAAATATATTAGATACTTATGTACTAGATATTTATTTGTAAAGACCATCTGAGTAATACGATAAAATTATTATTGGCTAGAAATTTTTGGCAGCCACTGTAAATGTGTATATTTACAACTACAGGTATTCATAGTTCGTTCTTATCTTAATATGTTCTTATCTCAACCATCTTAATGTCTTAAGACATTAATATAGCTCCGTAAATAGTTTATGATATCTTAAGACTGCATTTAAGTTAGTCTTAAATATAAAAACTGACTATAAATACTGTTATTAAAATCTCATGTGATGTAATAATATAGTTATAATAATACAGTTAAAAAATATTAGGCACTTACATTTTCTTTTTTCATCTGGAATTTATCTACATTGTTACTTATTGGTTACCAGCGCCATACATAAGTTTAAAGGGTTTTTAAAACAAAGGATAATTCACAACAAATTTGATAAATCCATTTTTGAGGTTTAAATAATAGTTAATAAGGTGCCTAATATTTCTTGTATAAACTATATATTATAATAATATAGTTTTTATTTGCAAAATACCACACACTGAAAATAATATCAGAAATGATAACAACATACTAGAAAGAGATACTGGAGACCATAAACGATGGAATTGATTGTGAGTACGGGTTTCCAGTCCTCTCGCAAAATATTGAGGCACACATTACCATCCAAATCAATATTAGGATGATAAACTTGAGTCTCGCATTTCACCTTGGGTGGCTCATGCGGATAATTGGGCCCAACTTTGAAACTAAATACAAACCTACCACCTTTGTAAAATCCCTGAAACAATAAAAAAAACCTATTAAGAAAGTAATGTTAATGTTAAAAGGAGCCATGTCAATTATCTAAACAAAACACCAAAAATAATCTCAATTTCTGGTAAGACGGCAAAAGTGATATTGATCTGATCGACTGTAACAACTATAAGGTGCTCCGAAGCAAGCGTTTACTTACTTCATCTGGACAGATGATTAATTTAAAGCTTAGCAAATCGTCGGGATCTGGGAATTCCGTGCCGCACGTTTTCGGGAGATTCAGTTCGTTTATATCTAAAAAAAAAGGAGCATCAGATAAGAGGAAAAACGAACGTGCAGAAAGCATACAATGTGACTCAATGGCATTGCTCCGAACCTTTCGTGATCCTCAGCTGTGCCGCAGACGCCTTCTTCTGGGTACCAGCCTTGGGTGACTCGCCATCTTTTTTCGCTTGTTTCAACGAGAATAATTTGATCATAATTAGATTGCGCGTTCAACGCGGGCAGACATGCAAGTGACCTCGGGCAAAAGCCGCGGTCACGCGGACGGCATACAAAAATCAAACCCTAGAGAACCGATAATTTTTTGACACCACAGGATCAATCGCACGGTTGGTCCCCAACTACACTCGCACGCAACCACGCACCACAGGCGGCGCAGCGACTAATGTCACGTGAACAGACAGTCATGGGCGCGCTGATGTCACGGTGTTATGGATGACCATGGAGTATAGAGAATAAGAGGCCGAACTAGGCTTTGAAAAGTCAAAATCAGGTTTCTGAATTGGTATTGATGATGCTCGGTAGACGGCATTCAAATCGCAAAACTTCTCTCATATATGCTTAAGCACACACAATCGAGCACACATAACCTAAAAATAGAGATGTTATATGTTGAGTCATATTCTGACAGTAATAGGAAGATATAAATTGTCATTAGAACTACAGTCAGTTATCATGCAAATTGCGAGAATGGTGTTGTGGAACGAAAGCGACATCTCGATTGAACTAATTTAGATGACCACTTTTGAACCACGCTTTTTGACGGTCTCGTCTATGTAAATTCGGTCTTCTATTCTCTATATTCCATGTGGATGACAATTCTCCTTTGTCACGCGTCGATAATTTTTTTTTAACGAGAATTCTTATAACCGGCGAGATTAGTAATATCAACGTAACGTTGTTACCCATAGAACCGCTCTCGGCATTAAGGAGTTTGAATCTTCTCCGTGAGATGGCAATACTGGCGTCGTCATCTGCAGTCAGCGTTGCCAACTCAATAGTTATTCTATCAAATCTAAAGGCGATATTCCAAAATTACTGCCAACATTAAAAATGCTACAATTTACGTAACGTACACTATAGATTTTCAGTACTGGCAGTCAATTTTGAAACACTGCCAGAATGACAGGATGTCAACTCGAATATCATTTTATCCTTGTTGGTCACCGAATGTTGAATAAAGAATACTCGGAATTAACAGAGTCAAGTTTTGAAACGCATCCCAGTAGAGACACTTCGTGTCGGTATCTTTGATCTTTATATCGAAAGTCATGTGAGCATTCGCCATGTAACATTTAAAACAGTATTGCTCTACATTTAAAACTCGGCTGCTGAGCCTCGAACAGTAGTGGAGGTAGACTATTGGTGCTTTTCATTTGATGATACAAGTCGACACAAGTGTCGTTCTTTCCTTCTTAATATTCAGAGAGTAACAAAGAGGGTAACAAAGAACGACACTTATATCGACTTATATCATCAAATGGAAAGCACCTAGTCAAGTATTGCCATAATTTTAAAGCTGAATGTATCAAATGAACTAAAAAATGTACTAAATTGTATTAATTAAAAAAAAAAATTTAGTACAATTGTAAAAAGATTTTTTTAAACACATATTTAAATTAAATTTCCTCTTTAAAGAAATGTTATGGATATTGACAAAAATTTTTAGGATAAAAAAGTCTTACAGTTAAACTTACAGTGCAGTATAAAAATGTTACTACCTAAATATAAATCAAATTGTTTTATTGCTTCTATAATTTTTACTGTCTAATTTTATTCTGCAATTTCGGGTTCTATAATTAACATTCATTGCGCAGGTCCGCGGACGATGTTTTCGCGCTTTTTTGTGTTTCAAATTCATTGCGAGTGATGTTTAATTCAACTTCTTCGTCTGTAGAAACATATTTGAATTCTGACATTCACGTAAATTCAAATTGCATTCGTTTAATTGTGGAATATAATTATCTATAGAATGTTCTAAGTTCCTAAAAGAATTACGAGTGTCTCGTATATATGCGTAAGGTATATATTTGAAAGTGTTTCTGCCTTCATGTGATTCGCCGACTTTGGGAGGAACTTGCGTACTGCGCATGTTCGCCGCACGATCTTTCGTTGTAAATAAAATTCTGCATCATCTTTAACAATTCACTGGGTAATTTGTTAGTTAACTACTTGCTACTGGCGTAATTTGCGTCGCATGCTACGTTGCTGTGTCCGATTTAATAATTCTGTGCACAGCGTCAATTTGTCATAATAATTAGTAATTTCATTTACAGTCATCGAGCCAGACTGCCGTGTGAGATAACACGATTTATAAGCGCCATACCGCGCCGTGCATGTTTATAAGTTTAACGGTATGAATACGTGCAAACGAACTGGCGGCACGCCACTGATATTTTAATTTAGGATAACTCGACAGCAGAATGACGTACCGAAAAACGCCGCTTTTGAATAGTTGCTCGATTTGAGAGGATCGACGATCGATCGGAGCAAGCTGTCACTTGAATGGGCAACTCCAACGTCAAAAGGAACTGTCATAATCAGCAGAGGTATGATAGTCAGGTGAGTATTGTTTAAACTCAGATCCTAACCTATAATAAAGAATTTGTTCTCCTTTTGTTTGATAAACATCAACAGTAACATTACAATTACTAATAATTTTTTATTTAACAAAATTAATATATGTTTTACATATAACAATTACATTATTCAAAAATTGTAATATTAATGTAATGTTATTGTTAGTTGAGTTTATTAAAAACAATTTTTATGTTCTGATACTGTTATGTGTTTGCATTTTGCATGATGCATTATAGTTAAATATAAGCATTTTGCATTAAAGGCAATGTTATTGATTTACAGTACAGTCTCAGTGATTTGCTTGGTGGTAGCTGCGTCAACAATGCAACTGCGCAGGCTTCTAACAAGGAAGGGAGATCATTGTCCCGTGCTTCTCACAGAAGGTAACACTGTAATTAGTCTTTGATAACAGATTTCTATACATATTAAATATCATAACTATAAGAACTAAATTTGTTCTCATTCACTCTTCAGTTGGACCAAAGGATATTGTACTACACAGGATATTCATGGATCTTCCAAAACAGTATGGCCCATTTCACGCTCTCAGTCAATATTTCTGCCAGAATTTCCAGTCAAGGAGATACCTCTGAAAACAGGATACGTCTTCTTAGATGTAATAGCTAAGGGTGCTTATGGCAAAGTATACAAGGTGCAAAAGCAAGAAACTAGTCAGGTTTTTGCACTGAAGGTGATTAGCAAAGCCATGATTGTGGCAGAAAATTGTGTCAGACAAGCTAAGGAGGAGGTACGTTTATATCTAAGATGATAGCTTTGATAAATATATAGATTTGACATAATATATAACAGATTTGATATTTCATACTTAGGCAGCGATACTGAGAATGGTTGGGCATCATCCTTTCATAGTGAATTCCGTCCACAGATGGCAAGGCAGGAAAACGTTGTATATATGTATGTTTCTATTATTACAATATTTAAATTTCAATTTGATTCTAAATAAACTGACAGATGTAAATAATATTGCAGTGATGCATTACATTTCTGGAGGAGAATTATTTTCACTAGTCGACGAGTATGGCTGTTTGCCTGAAAAAGTAGTTAGGATATATGTAGCTGAAATTGCCTTAGCTATAGGTAAGAATAATTTCAACAATCAATAATATATGTACAAGAGCCAAGAATAATTTCAATTATCAATGACATACAAGATCCGAAGTCTCTATATTTTATATAAAAACGTGTGTTGTATATAGATTTTCTACACAATGCTGGTGTAGTACACAGAGATTTGAAAACAACCAATATTCTACTTGATGAAGATGGCCATGCTGTGATTATCGATTTTGGTCTGGCCAAATGGTTGCATCGCACAGAACGAACAAATACATTCTGTGGAACACCTCAATATATGGGTAAGAAAATGTTATATAATAATATACAACTATAATAGCATACACATATACACTCATTATATCGTTTATTTGCTACAACATCGACGTAACTCAGAAAACAAAGTTTTCCAGAAAATGAGTTTAAACATTTTTATTTATTAATTTAGAATATTAACCTTAAAATGCAATTTTAGCGTAATAACTGATTGTAAAGAAATAAAAGTATATTCTTTCTTTTTTTCTTTATATTTTAATTTTTTTTTTTATATAAAATATAAAATGCGCTTTTATATCGTCATATTTAAGCGAATTTTTCATCATGATTTTTCAGCGCCGGAAATCCTAAAGAAGGAATATTATGGACAGGAAGTCGATTGGTGGTCTCTGGGTGTGTTAGCCTGCGTTTTACTTACAAATAAGGTACGTGATAGATTTTAAGTACATATTTTATATCGTTTTACTACAATTATCATTTAATGTTATATTGCAAGTGTATCATTTTAAGTGTACCGTTACATATCATTGCATTGGAAGAAGACAACATCACAAGACTCCGTGGCGCAACGGTAGCGCGTCTGACTCCAGATCAGAAGGTTGCGTGTTCAAATCACGTCGGGGTCAAAATAATTTTTTTTTTCGTTTTTTAATTTTCGTTATTTTCTTTAGCTAAACAGAATTAAGAAATACAATAAAAATTTATTAGTTTATTGTTAATTATGTTTTTATATCATTCGTTTTGTAAATAGTTGGCTATGCATTTTACTTTAATCTATATTGTAATATTATAACGTAAAACTTGTGCTTTTGTATATCTACAGTTAGGAGTTACGAACTGATATTTGAATGAATATGATATTAAAAACAATCGTACAATAATTGTAAAAAAAAAATATCGCCCCCGGGTGGGCTCGAACCACCAACCTTTCGGTTAACAGCCGAACGCGCTAGCCGATTGCGCCACGGAGGCATTTGACTACATATCTCTTAAGAATGCACTTATCACGTATTATCTATTTCTCGCAAAATTATTTTTCCAAACATTAATTAGAAAATTTAATGAATTAAATTTTAAGTCTTAAGAAAAAAAAAAGCGAAATACAAATCGCAAAAGGTAATTTTGCATTTAGACATTTCGCTTTAATAAATTTTTTTTTTACGAAAGAAGCAATGATTTGTTACTCTGCAATAATCTAGCATTGAAAAATGAAAATTTTTGCATCGGATTTAATAACAGAGGAAAGAAGGCGAATGCTTCAAAGATAGCGTTAAATAGTATCAGGTGTGCTTATTTCAAGTTAACCTTTAGAATACGGGTGTTTTTTTAAATTTTATAGCTTTTCTTTATGTAAGATTTATTTTATTTAATTATATATTTTTTATTTCAAAACATAACACTGTTTCAAAGCTACTATAATGATTTTCCAACTGATCTATGATAATTCTAAAATTATTAAAAATAAAAATGGATAAATACAATATAATATGAAAAATAAAACAGCTATATAGTAGGGCTCCTGTTCGGTTAAAGATTAGTTGAACGGCTCTTTGGTAAAATGTTGCAATTTTTAAAAAATTTTACAAGAAATATAAAAAACATGTACTCCATGTTTGCACGATTAAATAACGTTTTTCTGTTAAAACATCATTTTATAAAAATGATAGTTACAGAGTTTTTTCCAGGGAGCCCTTCAATTTTGAGAGCATTTAGTATTGAACGGCGAGAATGCAGGACGATATGATGAAATGTAGAGAACAATGATAATTGAACAATCTCCGCGCAACGAGTTGCAAAATTCTTTTTGTCTCTCTTTTTTTTTCTTTCACGCCTTGACATTTCGCTGGGAGCACTCACCTTATGCACTGCAACTTTGTTTATGCTTACCTACTCGGTGTATCGCCGTGTGATCGAGATGCTCGCTCGCCCTTTGATGAATCGATGCAAGGGAAAATGTCGGCTTGCGCCGCGGCAATGCGACATTCGCGAGCAGTTGTGCGACTGGTGCTCTTATGCAAGTGCATTCTCCATGGGTAGTCAATTCGTTATGGAATTGCATTTGCGAGAATAGAAAGGTATCGGTTGTGACGCCGTAAATCCGCGGATCGCCTCTCTTAATGGCAGTTTATAGCACCCTTGGCAGAATGATACTTACAATTACTGGGATTTATTCCGTTTTCTACATATTATGACAATCTGAATGATTCTTCTGCTAAGTGCTCGATATTTTAATTATTTGTGATGAATTATAACTTATCTATGAAGATATTATAAAATATAGTATATATTACATACATATCTTTCCTTCTAATGACATTTTCATTTATATTGTGTGCATTGTGCATATAATTATCTATTTATTTATTTATTTATCTGAAAGAAGACGGTTCCATACTATCGATAAATATTTGCTATAAAAAATAATAAGCTCTCCGTAATTGATAATTCTGCGTAAATGTAATCAATAATGATACTCTGGACAATCCTTTAGCTCGGATATTTAAGTTGTCTACGATGAATGATAATTATAATTGATCTTTGAAGATATAAAATACAACATATATGTCTTCCTTTATAGTAATAATAAGACTCTGGACGGTCCTTGAACTCGAAGCCAGACATTTAAATTGTCTAGGATAAATGATAATTATATATAATCCGTCTTTGAATATATTATAAAAAATACCATACATATCTTCCTTTCTAAAGACATTTTCGTTTGCAAATATGTATATAATTATGTATTTCTTTTTTTATTTGAAAGGAAAACCGTTTTTACAGATAGATCAAAATTTGTCTAAAAAGGTTGATATAAACTTTCCGTAATTAATAATTCTATGCTATTTATATTAAATGTAATTAATAATGAGACTCTGGACAGTTCTTAAACTCGAAATCAGATACTTAAATTGTTGAAGATGAATAATAAATCTATCTCTGAAGCTATGTATATACATTTTTTTTCTTTCATTTGTGCTGTATATATAATTATTTCTTTATTTATCTGAAGGAAAGTTTTTATATTATCAATCAAAATTTGCCTAAGATTAATTCTAAATTTCTACAATTAATAATTTTATCCTTAAACGTATTTAATAATATCGAGTATGTTACTCAATAGCAAAATCCCATTATCTTAATGGAATGAAATTTTCGACGAAACATTTATGAAATGCAATGAAAGACACGTTTTATTTGATCTTATTGCGTAACGTAAACGATTTGTGGGTAAAGTGGGCACGGTAAACGGTTAAGGGTCGTAAATTAAGGGGTTATTATCATTTACTCAATTCGCTGCCGGTGCGCGCTCGTTGTGCCTTGTTATTTCGTGTTAGAGAAGTGCGAAGATGTTTATCGGCTAGCGGAAGCCCTCGATTATCGTATCTGACACGGCACGTATGTACGTACACTGTGTACGTACTTTGTGCACGCTGTCGAGAACGGCTAAGTGCTACTTCGTAAGTCACTCGTTAACTTATTACAACCGCGGCGTTGATCCTCGTCGTTTTTGCGATGCTGAAGAGCGATGTGATTGACAAATCGCTGCTTATCACGATCTAATGTTATCACACGAACCTCTGCAAATCCGCATGATTTATCAGCGAGCGATTTACGCAGTGATGTGACTTGCATCCATTCCTCTTGCGTCCATTCTGTCATCTTTCCACAGATGTTATCATTCACAGATGCATCATTCGTTTTCTAGAATAGTTGCATATCTTGCAAATACCTACAACTGCTTCGTGCGATCGTAACGCTCGCCGAGTGAAAACTGTACTTTACGCTGTAATTCGGAAGCGACTTATAATGACTGTAGTCTAGAACTTTGAAAAGATGAGTAATTGCGTGAAATTTTAGGTATACTGTTGTACTGTTATGTTTCAGTGTACTTAAAAATTAGTATATCTAAGTCATACAGAGAGATATACTGTTATGCAGAGAGATATACTGTTATATATCAAAAGAGCAATAGTAATCCAATCCCTTTAGTTAAATATAATAACATTTTGTTATTTTTAACTTTCATGTGTGTTAAAATGTAAATCAATTTTCTCCATTAGTTTCTTAATTAATTTCAAAGTAAACATTTATATTAACGTATGCACTTAGTGAATAACAAATCAAATTTGAGTAAAATTTTATATATTTTCTCAAGTTCGAAATTGTTTAAGTTCATTGTTTAAATTAATGACATATTGAGAAGGAGCAGTGGCGATCTATAGAAAAATGAATTAAAAATAATTTAAATTAAATAATTTGATTTGAATTTAACAATGTATAATAATATTAAGATATTACGAAAGATATTACGTGTTATGGAAGAAGATTACGTATGATTGTGTACAATATCGATCTCGAAGTCTATTTTTGTTTCATCGCAATATATCGCTTGAAAAATATCTCTGTTTATGTAAAAACTCAATAGAGTCCCGTAATTATGATCATAAAATTCTATACTTTTTGCTTCTGTATTATTAAAATCTGAAACTTAAACTTGCTCGCGAATGATCCATAAATGGGCGGTTGGTAGTAACACGAGGCCGTCGGGGGATTCACAGTAATAATAATAATTATTATTATAACGATGATGATAGCAATAATACAAATAATAATATTAATAATAATAGTGGTATTGGTACTAAATCGTAATAATAATCAATAATAATAATGACACATGTATCTCTAAAAAAGAAGACAGAGAGAGTCGAACTACTTACTATTATAGTTTATCGGGATGAGCTTATCGGATGTTGTAGTGGTGTGTCATTCTCGGATGGGACGCAAGGGATGGGAGTTCCATAAAGGGAATGAAAGATATTGAATGGGGGGGGAAGGAGAGGGGGGGGGAGCAGAGTTCGTCCCCGCGGACAGATCGCGATGTCCACCGGGACGAACGAGAATGCCGACTCGGAGCCAGGCCGAGCCGGCATTCTGTGATGGACCGCCGCGTGTTCTCCGTCTGCCATCTTGCGATGTTCACCGGGACGCCACCGGATCACGGGCGTCGATCACCACGTACCGAAGATACGATCGATACACGGTGTCGTTCGCTCACGTGTCGCAGCATTCGGTAACACGCGATCGTCCTGCGCTCCCGGAAATGCGCTACCGAGATCGTAGTGCGCCGTCGAAGATCAGATAACCGTACCCTATAGAAAGATTGATGGGGGTCGATGGGATCGCTCTTTCGCACTCTCTCTTTCTCTCTCTTTCTCTCGCCCTCTCTCTTTATTTTTCTCTTTCTCCGACATTCACACTGTGCAGTATTTTCACATTTTCTGGATTTATCGCTGAGAGTGCTTCTTATCCTGGCATTCGCATTCTCGCTCTTTCACAACATACATACGTATGCGCACACACACACACACACACACACACACACACACACACACACACACACCCCCACACTCACACACAGACACACATACATACATCTTTCTTTCTCACTTCTGCTCCAGTTTTCTCGCGACGAACTCGTGCCCACGTCCCGGTGGCTAGAGACGTCGATGCCTGAGCTCGTCCCGAGGAGCAGTTTACTTCCTTCTTCTTCTCCTCGAGATGATGCTGCTGCTGCTGTTGCTGCCGCGCTGCTGAGGTTACTCATCAATCAAACCCTCCCCGTGCCAAGATTTACTGCTCGGGTTTCGGGAGCAATTCCCCGAGCTTCGGTTTGGCGTTCTTCTGCTCCTCGGAAGACTTTTCCTCCTCGCTGCTCTTGGTGTCCTCCTTGCTGTCCTCGGAGGACTTCTCTTCGGAGGAATCGTCGGAGCGTTCCTTCACCTCTTTAGCGATTTCCTGCAGTTGCTGTTGTGGTTGCTGTTGTTGGGCCAGCTGCTGCTGCTGCTGCTGTTGCTCCTCAGCGGCCGGAAGGTCCGACTTGGCCTGAGGCTGCTCCGGCGCTTCCGCCGCATCTCGTTTGATCTGGCTGGACTCCTGAGGCTGTGCGAGCTGTTGTTCCTTCGCCGCTTCCACTTGTTGGACAGGAGAGTCGGCACTCTTCGGTTCTTTTTCGGCCTCTTTCTCAGCAGCTACTTCAGCAACCTTCTCCTCGCTTTTGGCCGGTTCCTCGACTTTGACAGCTGGCTGCTCGGCGGGTGCTGTCTCCAGCTGTTCGCTCTTTTCGATCTTCTCGCTCTTCTCAGCTGGTTTCGGCTCCTCTACCGGCGCGGCTGCTTGCGCTGCGTTTTGCTCGGCCTCGGCGATAGGCGCGGATTTCTCCTGCACCTGAACAGGTTCCTGAGCGGCAGGAGCTGCTGCTGCAGCGGGAGCTGCTGCAGCGGCGGCGACGGCGGCGGCAGCGGCGGCGGGCGCAGCGGATTCCTCGGCATCGCGGGTCACACGGTCGGGCTTGTCATCGATCTTGGCGTGGGCGAGCGAGTGACCTTCAGATTCCTTCGGTAGTTCGGCTTTCGATTCAACCTTCTTTTCCTCGGTGGCAGCGACCGCGGGAATTTCCTCTTCCTTTTTCGCAGCTGGCTGTACCGGCTCCTCCAGCTTCTTCTCCTCTTTCGGCTCTTCGTCAACAGCGATCTTCTTCTCAGCAGCGCCATCAGCGCGTTTCTCGATGGCTACAGGCTTCTCGGCCGCAGGTTCGACCGCCTGCTCCGCGCTTTTACTTTCGACGGCTACGTTTTCCTCCTGAAAAAAGCATATCAATGTAAGATTAGATGAAGCTTAACTTAAGAATGGTATAAATGAAGAGTAAAGTGGAAAAGATTAAAGAAAATTATTCAATCGGGGGAACAAGAAACCTACTTTCTTTTCTGCTGGGATTTCAGCCGGTTGTTCCTGCGGCGCGAGCTGCACGGATTCTTTCGTCTCGGATGCCGCTTCCTTCAGGGTCTCTGGCTCTTGTTTCTTTTCGGTGGCCAATACTTTCGGCTCTTCCTTCTCCTCGAGTTGTTCCTCGGAGGACTTGGGCTGCGCCTGAGCCTCCTCGGACACCGCTGCTGTCGGCTGCTGTGGTTGCAATGGCTCGTCCTGTTTCGCCTCGGCCGGCTTGGCTTCGTCGCTAGCAGATTCGCTGCTCCTCACGGCAGGCTCGTTAACCGCAGCGGGTTGTTCAGCCGCTGCTTGTGCTGGTTGGCTAGCTGCTACAGATTCGGATAGGCTGCTCTGCACGGCCGTCTCCGCCGCCTTCAGAGATTTCACCGCGGTCTTCTCATCAATTGGCTGCGGAACGTGGTCCTCGTGATGATCGGCCACTGGCTGCGGAGGGTGGCCCTCGTGATGATCGGCCACTGGCATGGCAGCGATCATTTTCAGCCCCAAAAGACATACCATCGTTACCACAGTGAATTTTATCATTGTGATATCTGCAAGAGGATGTTCGATATTAGACATTCTCGTTGATAAAACATTACATCGTAGCATTGATAAAATCTTAACTTAATTCTGTCAATTTGAATTAAATTACTAAGAATTTGCAGAAAAAAAGTATTTAATCGATGGCTTCAAATATCTGAATATATAATAGATATCGCGCAATAAGTCTTTTGTGATTGCAGAAATCTTAAGATTTTACTTTCTTAATTAATTTTATAACTAGTTGCGCGTATTTACATGTTAATATTTATTACATTATCCGCAAATGATGAATGACGATCGTTGCACGACATCGTGAAATAAATATGTTTTTATATACAATACATTAATAATAAAATTTATAAAAATTAATTATAGGCGACTTACATATATAATATGTGTGTGTGAGATTAAAAATTATGATGGATGTTACAATTATTTTTTATCTTTCTATCAAAATTTTATTTAACAAAATTCGTTTGGATCCACACTGAGAAGACATTGAGACGCTCAATCTTCTAGTTAGGCAAACGGACGTGAGGACAAGCTGTCAGCGTGACAGCTCGGCCTGAATGGCCGAGACGAATGTATGAATGGGCCTGGTTGTAGATCGCGAGACGAAAGGACAACAGCTATGATTGTTAATGAGAGGAGGAGAGCTGTAGAGGGCCTCGAGGGGAGGAACGGTAACGTCGCGCTGGATGCCGATGAACACTACTATCGGGACTGTCGCGAGAGAGAATCGGCAGGAAGGAGAGGGACGGGTGACATTGAACCGAATGCATCGAATAAGGCGAACATTATGGAACTAATGACAGGATGCGTGCCTCTCACGCTTGTTATGTGCTTGCGTTTACGGCTTCTCCGCACGTTCAATTTTTCTCTCCGTAAAATGCAGAAAAAAAACAAGAAAGAATTGTAACGTCTTGCACGGACTTTTGTTGCGCACGAGGTGAATGAGACGTTAAGGACACGGCTCTCTCACACTTCGAAGGAAGATTTAACCAGAAAATGTAGTTTGGAAATCGCGAGTTTTAGAGTTACACGCGCGAACATTTGAAAGTAATACATAAGTCTTATCATTAATTATCAACTTTTATAATTTTTTGCAGATCTTACTTTAACGAATACTATTCTCTAAAATTTTTAGGGTGAATTATCATTCTGAAGAATAAAATTTCACTCTTAAAGATTGAAAATTGAGCCACTATTTTTTAAGACACTTGAAAAAATTTAGAAAGTATAGATTTGTAAAGTATATTGTATCCAATGACGGATTTATGTCCGTTTCCATCGATATAATATAATTTCAGTTTATCTTACTCTTCATTTTTTCTCTAATTTTTAAAGAAAAAAATAAGCAAAAATTAAACCGGAATTAAGTGAATTTATATTGATGAAAACGGACATTAGGTTGATAATGTTTGCTTTGTGCTTTCTGCGTGTGGATAATAAATTTACATTGCAAACTCTACTTTGTGTATATTTACCTCGCAAAATACATCGCGCGATAGCGAAACACTAAACTACTCTGCGTTCGCGAGTAGGTGTACGTGAAATAGGAGACAAACGACGCGGTATTTACGCATCATCAAGTTGGTGCGGCTAGATCGGCATGCATCAAGCTCGAGTTAAGCGTAGTCACTCCGACAGAAGCAATCGCTTTTCCAATCTGTCTTTTTGCGTAGCTATCGTCGATCAATCAATTCATCAATGAACTCGACGATCCAAATATTATTTATATTGTAGATCACCTTTAATTTTTAATTTCGCATCCAATTATGAGTCCTAGTGCCGATTAAAAATCATGAAACAATACGGAAAAAATGGTTTTGCTGAAGCATCTAAAAATTCAGCTAGATACAAATCTGAAAATAGTTTTGTTTCGATCATCAAAGTAATTATGTATAAGGATGCTTAAACTGGTTAAAGAATGTTGAACCTTTTTGCAGCACTGCCATCAATGTTTAAGCGTTCTGTATAATTATTTTAATGGTTCGTCAAAATTATTTTCAGTTCAGTATCTGTATCCAGCTAAATTTTTAGATACTTCAGCAAAGCCGTTCTTTCCGTGTGTTCCTGGAACAACTTTTTGATGATATGCGAATTAAACATTCATAAGTCACACAGAAGTATAATAATTCTGCATTAATTAGCTGTAACTGGAAAAGTTGTGAGGCGTATATTATTCTCGAGTCGCGTATGGTACGGCGATTGAAATTGCTCGAGAGCGGGGGCTGCGCTCGTCGTATGCCTGCGGACGGTGGAAACCGTCCGGTTGTGGCAAACCGGAATACACTGAGAGTCGAGAGGGATGGCGAGAAGTGGCGACAAAGGCGGGAACAACGAGGCGTAGTCGCGGCGAACGGGGCAGGAGGTGGCAAAAGGATCCAG